GAAGGTCTGTAGGGATTCTAGATTTGGTGTTGATTCTAACTCAATACTCTCTGATCTGGGCGTAACACAGCTTTCTAAGTCCCTTAGGTTTCTCATATTAGTCAACTTCCAAATATTCACTTTTCCGTATGTAAGAGTGAAACTCAAACTCAATATTCCCTCTGTCCGAAAACCTGATGGGTCTTTATGGTATGCTTTTGATAATTTAGGATAAATGATTTTTCTTAATGCTAACTTCATCGAGGAAGAAAGCAAGAATAAAACTATATACAAATTACATGCAAACGGACGATGGATTTTTGCATTTGAAACAAACACATAAAATTCTCGAATTCGAAACCCAACACCCAATTAATTAAAAGTCGTAATCTCTGATAAGTTTACAAGCATTTTACTCGACCAATTCATCAATTAGAGATGTGAAACAATTCCACTAAAATTAATCAAAGACATATTGATCCGTGTTTTAAAAATTAATTTATTACTGTAGATAGACAAATTGCATGAAGTATATATCTCGAGTGATGGAAACCCATTTTCACAAATCTTTTTTTTTTTTAGATTAAAATATCAAAAAGGGAATTATTCAAACTGTGGTTGGTGTGGAGTTGTGCTTGGGAGGGAAAAAAAAAAAAAAACAAAATTAGAAACCCAGAAAGAAGGGGGGGATTGGTAGATGGATAAGGAAATGGAGTTGGGACAAACTTGTCGTGGAAAATTATGTAAAAAAAAAAAAAAAACTTTAAGGAAAAAGAAAGAAGAAAAAAATAGTTAATTTGGAGCTTTATTGTGGTCAAGAAAGCTGAGCGTCAACAAAGTTTAATCACCTACGTCTTTATAACATGCAAACAAATTAGTGTATATGGCTAAAGAATGAATTATGTTTTGTTTGGACTTTTTGGCTTTTAGATTCTGGTTTCAGCCAATCTTGCATGTGTTCTTCGAGAAAAAACACTCCCACTTGGAGCCCAAAAACATTGACACTACAACTCTTGTTCATTAAGTTTGATTGAAGATTTATCTCCTTCAGAAACTTAATTTACAAATTCCACAAAAACCACATGAAATGTGATGAGAAACAACATGCTAATTTTTTTTTATTTCTTTTTTTTGGCTTTTTCTTTGGGCGTGGTGGGCTTGGTAGCTCTTTTATTATTTCAAAAAATAAAATTTAATTTCAAGAGTGAGATAAATCCATGAAATATTATTCTCTCTTGTAATACTTTATATCTCACTCTTGTAATTAAGTTTCGTTTTTTTTTAATTAATAAACGAGCAATCAATCAAGCCACCACATCCAGAAAAAAATGTTCCTTCTCATTCCATCTCGTGTTATCATGTGCTTTATGTGGAATTTGTAAATCAAGTTTATGAAGGAGATAAATCTTCAATCAAGCTTATAAAAAAAGATCATTAAGTGCTTATGAAACTCCTTTGATTTTTCATGAGCAAAATGAATGTCCTGTTCCTTCCAGCATTACTAGCTCCGTATTCTCTCCCAAATGTCTGGATCGAAATTAAGAAACAATTTAATCGAATGCAGTTTTTTTCCCCATAAATTAATATTTACGTTTTTCAATATTGCATAGAACAAAGAAAGGGACGTTACTCCTTTTTAACCTGTGAGCCAATTCGGCTGGAAAATGTCTGATTTTTTTTTTCTCCCCAAATATTTAAAATTGGGTGCATTTGAAAAGGAGAGAAAAACAAAAAAAAAAAAAGAACCCATCAGCACTATCCAGGGCATCAGAATCCGAAAATTAAAAAAAAAAAAAATCTTTCTGAAACCAGAAATCCAAATGAAAAAAAATAATTTTTCATTTTCAGTTTAGATATGTGAATAATCATTTCACGATATTTCTTCGACGTCCAAGTGACAATACTGTATCATTTAAAACTCTAATAAAAGAATGTCAATGAGCAGTATTTTCACGAGTTAAGGTACTTAAAAAGGTTACGTACAAAAAATCTCAATGGATATGAGAAATAAGATGACTTCAGTTAATTACCTTACTAATTTGTAGACTTTACACTTATAATAATAAGGATTTAAGATAATATATTTTATGGACAAATATTTTTCTGGTACATTTGTAGTTTTGTATTATTCATTTAACTCCGGCCTTACACGTCGTAAAATGTCGTACTGACGTAGTACGATAGTAGAATTGGAAAAGTTGTTGGAGATGAAAGAAAAAGAACAATCTAGCCATTAAGCAAAATCAATAGCATAAGGATTCTTTTAATTAATCCACTAAATCAAAACCCTATTGGATTCCACGAGTAAAAGCAAACCAGCTTCATCTTGAAGGTAAGTAGGTTAACATCAAATCACAATCACACGCGCCAGTTTCCATAGCAGTAGGTGAAATGTGATTCTCAAATGAAAGATCAATCTCTCAAATTTTTTGACTATAGATATAAGAAAAAAAAAAATTAGCGATCATTATCAGTTCAAGTGATAAAGAGTTTGATACGTTCTTAAAAGAAACTAGATGTTTGGCCCGAGCAGATGTTTGGGCGTCCCCTATACTTTAAGTTTGTGTTAATAGATAAATGAATTCTTGATTTGGAAAAAATAAAATAGCTACACATTTGTTTTTTTCCCTTTTTTAGCCAAAAATAAAAATAAAAATAAAAAAATCATCTGTAAAAGGAGAAAAAATATTAAAAAGTACAACGATGCAGAAATCAAACAAAAGAATGTGGAGTACTAAAGGGGATAAGTTTATGGGCAAATTTAAATGCTATCTTAATTTGATTGATAAATGATAAGTGTTAGGAGTTAAAATTGTGTAGCTATTTTATAAAGTAGCTTTTGTTTCTCTGGATAAGAAGGTTTTTTTTTTTTAAAAAAAAAGGATGACACGTGGCAGAATGGTTAGTGCAATATGGTGCATTTGGTGCCAAAATTTTTTAATAAGAAGTTGCCACATCAACATCCTATATTCTACTTTAATAAGGTAAAAGGGATGTCTTGATTTTAAATAATGTGATCAGAAAATGAACTCTAGTATATATCCAAAGAAGAAGTTGTTCTCAAACGAATGAAAATTATTTTGTGTACTATTTGTTCGCTCACAATAGATCATGTGTGTATACAAAAAAACACTGAATTAATAAATAAAAGAAAAAACTCAAAATTTCAAACCATGGAACAAGCTCAAAGTCAAAAAGCCATTTCTTGAAAAGGAAAAAGAACCTAGAAAAGCAGATAGATAACGACTGCAAATCAAGATCAACATGATTTGGAGGAAGAAAGAAGACAACAAAAGCAGCAAAAACCATAGTTGGGAGATGAGTAATTACTTAATTCATTCATTCATTAAATTAATTGCAGCAAAGAAATTTGGGGATTGGAAGAATTTGCACGTCAGACATGCACTTTAAAATTAAACAAATATGCATGTACAGCTAGCCCAGGAAAGAAAGTACCAGCACACCAACACTTACTAAACAAACAAAAAAAAAGCATTTATGATTTTGGATCGATTAGGACATTTTGTTTTTTGAGATCCACATTATTTGTTTCGTTCTAAAATAATTAATTTTATTAGATATTTGTTTGTATTAGAAAATGGAACTCTTGTACCATGGAATATGCATGAAGTTTGTTTCTGTTGAATGAGTAAAAGTAGCAAAAACGGCTCAATTAATCAATTCAAAGCTCTTGTGTCATCAAATTGTCTACATCTAAGTAAATACAATCTGTTTTTTTGGTTCCTTCCTACAACTTCTAAAATTACAAACTTGATATTCTTAAGAAGATAAATTGCTATAATCAGAAATTTAACGCGTGGAAATTATTTAAATGCTTGACTCCTTATGCATTTGTGAAAGCACTTTAATTAAATGCCTATATATGACTGAATCCTAGAACAAACTAATCCACGACCTATAAAACAGACTAACTTTGGAGGAGTTCCTATTCATGTTTACGGCGAAAAATCTTACATAGAGAATGACTCTATCTGCAACAAAATACCCCCGGAAAAACAGTCTATTTTGCTATGTAATTATAAATTAATTTTTTGGAACAGAAAGAGCGCAAAGGAAGAAAATATATCCTCTCTGTTCGAAAGAAAATAATTTATTTTATTAACAAAGTGGATTATTTTTCTGAGATCGGATAAAATTGAAGCGAGTTTTTTCTTTCTTTATATTTTTTTTCTAATTTTGTTATTCCTTTTCAATGAAATTTAGAGTTTAAGGTTTGAACTTACAGATTAAGGTTACGATCCTTTCCTCTTAGTTGCCTCGTCTAGGTATACGAAATAGCCAAGATTTTGATCGTGACCTAAAGCTGCGCATACATTTCAATATATATTCTAGTACGAATTGATTAAGTACTGTTGTGGCTAAGGTGCGGGCTAGTACTTCACTTACTACAGTTATGTATACATATGAATCCGGATCGAGATCATTAGAATTTTCTTCTATCAGTTGTAGTTATAGCTGCCAAATATCTAGAATGTGTTGAATACAAGAAAGTACAAAATAGTGTAAAAATAAAGTCCAAACTAAGAAAAGATAGTTAATTCCGCACGATAAATGTAACATAACTCTCATGAAATACTTATTATTTAATTAATTTACACGGCTATGTATTTTTGACAATTTCAGCACACGTGTGATGAAATTAGCTAGCTAGCTGAAAAAAGCATGCACTCAGTTCTCTTCATATCCGTTAGTTTATTGGTAAAGATATTAGATCAGATTAATTATGCCATATAATTTTAGTTTTACATAAGAAGTGATTGGAATACTTATTTAAAGAATTTTATTTCCCGAAAGAAATCTGCCCTCAGATAGTATTAGTTTGAGCCTGATGTATGTCTACCTAACCGTTTAAGATTTTCACCATGGTCTATATATTAATAGAATTCTTTTTTAAGAAAAATTCATTTAAAAGTGGGCCCGCGCAAAGGTAAAATTCTTCCTCTTTGACTATTAGCAATATGAGGGTTGGCTATAAAAGAAGATGTTAACATTCGCTACAACATTTCTTCTTGGTTAAACCAACATAGAGAGAGGGGAAAAGATAAGAAAGAAGAAGAAAAAAACTCTTGCAATTCTCATGAACTGCGGAGTCGTATTGGGCTTCTATTGCTGGGGTTGGGAGTTCTTAACCGCCCTTCTTCTCTTCTCCGCTTTTTCCTACAAATTATCATCTTTTTAATTATTGTTTAGTTTTTTTTTTCCCATAATCCTCTTAGCTCTAGCGTTAAAAATTTCATTCAGAAAAAGCAAATTAGGAATTATCATAATAGAAATACTTTTGATTAGATTAGATAAAGAAAGTCTCTCCCTCCAAAAAAAAAAAAAAACCTTTTATTTGATGGTGATGATGATGATGAATAATGAATGTGAGAAGAGTTTGCTTGAATACGTGAGGAAGTCGACGCCGCCACCTTTCTTGCTGAAAACCTACATGCTGGTGGAGGATCCGGCCACCGACGAGATCATATCGTGGAACAACGACGGGTCGGCTTTCGTCGTGTGGCAGCCGGCGGAGTTCGCCAGGGATTTGCTCCCGACGCTCTTCAAGCACAGCAATTTCTCCAGCTTTGTCCGGCAGCTCAATACTTACGTATGTTCCACTTTTCTCCCCAACTCGTTAATTTAAATATTATTTCTTTCTGTCCCAAAATAATTTTCGTACATTTCCAGTTGTTGCTGGATAATTTTTTAATATGAAATGCATGTATTGGGTCCAATGCTAGAATTGTTGGCTAGTAAATCTCTTGTAGTTTAGGGTCGAGGGTTTTAATTGTTTGTTTAGTTTTTCTTTTATGGTTTTTCCAGAATTATAAAATAATAACTGTCACATCCAAGTCTATCTTTTAACATTTTTATTATATTTTTTTATATTTTCAGTAAAAAAAATCTAAAAACACACACTAAAAAGACGAAACAAAAATAAAGATCGTGTTTAAATTATGGTATGAATTTTAATACTCTCGAATATCCATGTCGAGCCACAAACTTCAAGAAACAAGTTTTCCCCTCCAAAAAAAAAAAAAAAGAAACCAGTTTTCAGTTGATTTTTTTTCCTGGTCAAATGTAAGCTATATATATATATATATATATATTAAAAAAACCCAATAAATTTCTACTTCTATTCGTAGAAACTGATTTTTGAGTCAATTCCCTCTCCTCCAAAAAAAAAAAAAAAAAGAAAAGAAATGCATTAATTTTTTGTTTCTCTAGCTAGTGGAATGGAACCTAAATTTAGACTTTTACGTACCCAGTAGGTGGTTAGCCTTATCGTTCTTAATTAAAATAAAAGGGAAAAGAAGAAATGAAGAAAATAAAGAGACAACAAAGGAGACCAACCGCCAACCGCACCATAGAAAGATGAAAAATGGGAAGTTTCTTTTCAGAGTGGATGTGTATGTATACATTTACATTTTAGTTATTGACTAATTCAGGACAATTATTTCATTTCAAGGTAGACTTTCAGCCCAAAAATAAAAATAACAACGTTAGATAATTTACAATTTTGATTATATATTTCACAAGAGTAAATAAACTACCCTAATTAGGAAATAAAGACAAAACTTTCTTCTTCTTTTTTTGTTAACACGGAACAATCTTAAATACTAAACTAATTTATTTTTTAGTTAATACGGAATTATCTTAAATTTATCAAAACACGAACCAAGGCAACAGTCTAGACGGGTCATAATCTGTTCAGTTCTCCAATTTTTGGGGTCAAAATTTAGTATTAGTGGTGGTTGTTGTATACAAATCCCATATGTTGAAACAAAATTAATCAACGGTGACAGGAGATATATTATGGAGTGGGGTCAAAGCATCGTGTTTCTCCAGTGAAAGATTTGACCAAATTGTAAAGCTTTCAAGTACTATGATATTATTATTACAACTACTACTAAACGTTGAAACAAGGTAATGAAATGAGACAATAAAGTGATTTCAACATCAAGGAAATCGACTCAACAATAAAATTTTGACTTGGTGAGTAAAACACCAACCCAAGAAGAATGTTCACATGCAATAATCCTTACAAAATCTAATGAACATATTCTAAGAAATTGCAATATCTCACGAGTATAGATCGGATTTTTGTATTTTTTTTAATCGTCACACGTTAATAATAATTTATTTCATTGTATTGTTCTAATAATTTTGTTACCGATTAACTTGAAGGGATTCCGCAAAATAGCAACTAGCCGATGGGAGTTCAGCAACGACATGTTTGGGAAAGGCAAGAAGGATCTCCTATGCGAAATTCGTCGAAGAAAAGCATGGACCAACAAATCATCAGAAAAACGGAACCACAATCATCATCATCATCATCAGGCTTCAGATAATCAAGCAACAAATCATAATAAGGACACCCAATCCGATGAAGACCAACAAAGCCAAAGGTCATCATCAACTAATTCATCATCATCCCACGAGTTCAATGTCCTTGTTGATGAGAACAAAAGGCTCAAGAAAGAAAATGGATTCTTGAGTTGCGAACTTGTTACCATGAAGAAGAAATGTAAGGATTTGCTTGATTTGGTAGCCCTTTATTCTTCTAATAACAATATTAATGCTGGCAATGATCATCATTTTGCACTGAAAAAACCTGATCAAATTGATGATGACAACGATGATGATGAGGTGGTTGATGATCAGAGACCTAAGCTCTTTGGTGTGAGGTTGGAAGTTCAAAAAGGAGGAGGAAACAGGAAGAGGAAGTTTGGGCCTATTCAACACAAGGCTGCTGTTTGTCTGTTTCAGTCATGCAAATAAAATTTCCAATTAATTTGTCATGTTTTAGTGATAATTAATCTAGTTGTTTTCTTTTCTTCCTTTTTTTTTTGAGAAATTAATGTTGTTACGAATAATTATGTACTTATTTATACACAAGTAGTAGTATTGGTGTGTTTTCACAGAGAAAGAGATGGTTTAATGTTTAAGCTGTAAATAACATCTCGTAGCCACCACTAGAATACTCGAATTATCTTAATTTCTTACCCAACAAGTATTATAAATACAAAATGTAACAACAAATTCGGTATTCATTACATAATGTCAATCTTAAGGAATAGAGTGATCAATTTAAAATTTTAAATCACTCTATGTAGAGCAACGACGTCGGAACACACCTTTTGACTATTATATCATCTGCTTTTATGATCCAGTCAACGTGATAAAATTTCAAGAACAAAATAGTGATAATAATATATACTATGATGTATAATATAGTAATTTATTCTAAGTTGATACTGTTATCCAAAATGTATGACCTTTGTTTAGACATATTAATTACGCTTTTATTTGAAAGAAAAGAATGATACGAAAGCAACACATATTATATATTTTTTCTCCAAGTATATTATTTAATGTCACAGCTACTCATCATATGTACCCTTCCAAAACCTATTTAAAAATCGAACAACTAGTATTATGAAATGGATCAAGTACTACTTTGATTTAATAAATTCCACTGCAATTGTTAGAGGATGCAATGCTCATGTGTCTAATAATATACTCCCTCCGTCCCAAAATTATTGTACAGTTTGAGTTTTCACTTCTAGTACAAATTGAACTAAAAATGAAAATCTAAATTGGATAATAATTATGGGACAGAGGGAGTAATTAATTTCATTGTAAAAATTTGATTATTACGGCACAAATTGAGAAAGTATATGTTTGATCATATATCTTACTATATTACAAACAAAAATCACGCTTAAGAGAAAGCACTACCATTTGCCATGTGGCATTTCCACATCATATTTTTAAAATAAATTTTTATTTACACATCAATTTCCTAGACTTAAATGGCAAATGCAGTCCAAATCCACCACCACCTCCTATTTTCGCCAAAACAAAAAAAAAAACACGGCTTCATAAAAAACACAAATCCTCATCTCCATCTCCACGACAATCGACTCCCTAATCAATCCCTTCTCCACAGTAAAAAAAAAAAAAACAAATTCCTCATCAATCATCAATTGAGAATATGTGGTGAAATATACTTCTTTCTTATTAGCATGTTCAATTTTTTCATTAGTGATGATCAACTACATCTTAATCAGATAAAATTTCGACTTCAAAAAATATTCTCTTTACCTCTCTATATAAACACAAAGAGAAAAAAAAATTCTCATTGATGTTGCTTTCGGCCGTTGTGGTGGTGTCATTACAGATATTAAAATTTAAATGATTTTATATCCACAGATCATTTGTACGACTTTTATTATTATTGTTTTTCCCGTTCAAGAATAGTGTTATTACTATTATTTTTATACGTCCACCTGTTACAGCTACCGTAGCCGTTGCCAGACAATATGATATGATTTCTTATATGGTTAGTCAGCTTAAAATTTTTGTATGATTTTAGTTCTGTTTGAATTGAATTGATCAATTGGGTTTTTGTCACAAAGTGTGGTTTTCTTAATTTCTTTTTTATGTTTTATTCATTTAGAGTGGTTTTCCTTTTTTTAATTATGGAGTCTCAGTTTTTTTCGTATATGGTCAGTTATGAATTGTGTTTTTTTCTTTGTTTAATTGCTTTTGATTTTGTTTCATACTCCCAGTTGACCAATTATTATTATTATTATTATTATTATTATTATTATTATTATTATTTTTACAAATGAAGCGCATTTTTTTTTGTGTTCGGACTTTCAAGAATATACTTTTTTGGATTTGGTTTTTGGACTTTTTTAAATTACTCATCATACAAATGGTTCAGGTCGCTTCTTCTAACTAATTCATAGGGAAGCTTTTTATGAATTTGAGGTGGAGAGGGAAGGAATGATGTTTCTACGTTTATTTGTGTTTTATACATTATTTTTACCTACAGGAAAAAAAAAATTTCTCAATTTTTAATGGACTCTTTTACTTATTTTTTTTTTATTTGCCATGATGAGGTGAGTTCTTTTTTGCTATAACTTGAAACCTATGCAAATTTACATTGATTTTCATTCTCATATTTGTGATCAACCAGTTTCAATAATTAATCAGTTTCAAAATCATATTTTTCATATTTTACTAGCTATAAGCCTTTGGAAGAAACAGTTCCAACAATTAAACGTATACCCATCGAAGGAAGCTTACTACAAAGCTATTATAAATCTCCAAAACCAAGTATTGATTTGGCACGACAAATGGAGAACATCAATAAATCATCTTACTAATATTTAAACTTATTAGGATACTTTTATATTTTGTCTAACATTTACTTCAAGAGATATACTTGATCAAGTTTATTTATATTTAATAAGTAACACTTATAAAACATTTCTAAAATATTCAAACATTTCTAAAACGTACCGGACCAAATACACTTTCTCTTTTTTGTCAAATACAAATATTTCTATGATCACATTTATAAAACATTTTTAAATTCTTCAAACATTTCTAAAATATATCGGGCCAAATACAAAATATTTTTTTTCAAATACAAACATTTCTAAGATCTATAGATATATTGGGCCATTGCGCGACATCACCAGTATATATATATATATATTGAGATTTGTTCTGTAGCTATCAAACTTTGCACTTGTAACATTTTAGAGATTAGTACTTTTTTGGTCCTAGAATAATATTAATTCAGTCAACTACTTCTTTTTTGTTTTTTGTATATTACAAACATTGGGTGTCCAAAATTACTTCTTTGACAAATCTGGTTTGAGTTGGGTAGAATTTACTATTCGTAATTTTTTTTCCTTATAACAAATGAGACAATTATTTTGAATGATATATAGTATTTTTTTTTTAAACTATCAGATATCAATCAAATGTTACAGCTTATTATTTGGAAAAATTACAATAATGAAGTCTATTGATCTTCTACTTCAATCGGTTTCGTCGGTTTGATCCCGTTATTCACGCTTGACTCTTTAACTCGATCAATTTACATACTCAATTTAACTTTGACCAACACTGTCCTTATCACACGTTAAATAATTTCGGCTTTTAAAGAAATATATCTAATATAACTTCAATCTCATCAACAAAAAGAATTTCTTGTGTTGTTGAGTTGACAAAGACCGAGTTTCTAGATGTTAGCCTGTGTCTCACGAATTCGTTTCTATTGCAGCAAAAGCTAGTAGAACGTCCATAAATTAATAATCTATAATAATAATAAATTAATAATAATTTTTAATAATTAATATTTTTTTAAAATTAATCTGATTTATAAGATTGATATTGTCTTATATATTGTTATATAGTAATAATCATTATGATAAAAATTATAAGTGAACCTTATACTCTCTCTTCAGTTTCCAATATTCATTGGTTCAATTTCGAAATAAAAAGGGGACATTTTTACGAGATTAAGGAGAGTATTTCTTTATTTTTGACTTCTTCCCAAAGCTTAGAAGTATGCATTGGCTATTTACTTCGCTACTCCAGCCAAATACTCTGGGTGAAAGTTTCGGCCAACTGACTCGTAAGTCAAACCCAAATTTGTACGCTGTTAAGACATATGTACGTACAATCATATGTAGATGAATCATCTGGAAGAGGGACATTTAACTAACACGTCATGATGAGACTAAAAAGAAAAATAAATCTTGTTCGACTCGAATAAAAATTAATTTGAATTTTTAATGAAAAAGAAAATCAAGGGGGAAGACAAATGAAACAAGCAGAAGAATCAGAACTTAGGACATCTTCTTTCTGGATGTTTAGTGTGTGTGTGTGTGTGTGTGCATAAATTAAATTAGGGAATTTGTCGTACTCACAATGTCAAAGTTTAAACATGGAAGATTTTGACTTCAATGGATGTTTTAAGTTAAATAACTTGGAATTGTGGTTCTATCTTGTGGTGAGAGAAATCTTCATGATATAACAATCTTCCAGTTGAAGATGGTGTTGAAATCATTATACTACTACTATTTAGTGAAATTAATTTCATATGTACGATAATTTCTTGAAGGTTGAATATTGAAGCTAGAGCTGTACTAGTGTTGAAATACGCCTTCCTTTGGTAATATTTACGAGCCACAAATTAAACTAAATTTACTTCAAATGTGCAACTCCGGAAAGTATATACATGATACATGAAAAATTTGACAAGAAAATTTTAAAACAATGATGTGGATGAACCTTAGCTATCTCTTTAATCCTTAAATTCATAATTTCTTAAAGAAAAGGTATAAATATGAACAATAATGATTAATTTATTCCTGGAAAAATTGGCTAATCTACTCTAAGCTTTACATGCGTTGTCAATTCTATTCTATTCTTTTTCGATTAGTCAATATTACCCTAAACTATCTAACCGTTACCCGATTTTGTTCAATTTGCTCTTTTCCATTTAAATTAACAGAATTTTATTTGTTTTAATTACAAAAATACCCTAATAATTTTAAAAATTATAAAAATCACTCCAAACATTTACAAAAATAACAACAGTCTCTTTTCAGTTTTTGTTTCATTTTTTTTTGTTTTTTATTTCTTTTAAATATTTTCATAACTATAAAAATATACTATATGATCTTTAAAAAAAACTATTTATTTTTAAACTCTAATGTACAAATTTATAATTTGATATTTGTAAGTCATGTTTAATTTAAATAAACATATTATTTTTTTAATAATATGGTTTAACGATAATAATATTATTTTTTAATCCATTTTTTTCAATCTAAAGAATAAGATTATTTAGCTAAAACTAATTTTGCACAAAAAAATAACACATTTAGCATAGATTAAAAAAGAAGTTATTGGTATACTTTAATGTATTACAATTTAATTTAACAGACTTTAGATTGTATCATAAAATTTAAAAAATAATTAAAACTAAAATATAAATTTTTCTGTAAAAGGCCAAGTACGAAAAGAAAGTAAAAAAAAAAAAAACACCTATTTCATTTCTATATAGGCCCAACACAAGAAAAAAATGGTACAAAATATTTTATAAAAAAATATTTATATTTATCATTGCGAGGGTTTAACATTTTGCGATAATTTTTTGAGATATTAATATATCTAACTTTAGCAGAAAGTCTTTTTTTTAAAGAAAAAATAATATAAAGAAAATCTATTCCAGTACTG